TTTTTGTATTACGAGAATGTTTTTATTTTTTTTTTTTGATAAAAAAAATATGTTTGGTCTATCCTCAAAATTTTCATGTTAATGTTAAATTTTTTCAAAATACCCCAAATTTAACTATTTTAATCCTTTTGATTTATTTTACCATTTGCGATATCCAAAGTTTCTACTTATGAAATACATGTCAAAAACCAATAAAGAAGAGTTTCAAATTTGAGGCTATGTATCCAGCAGAAAACACACTAGAAACACAAATGGCTTAATCACAATCCACAAAATGTTGGTAGACAAAGATCGCCAACGTGGAATAAACTTTATATTAAATAAATAAAATCAAGAAATATCTAAGAAACACCTCACACAATTGTGTTTCTGGCACACACATTTTCACTTCGACACGTGTATGTTTGAGATTCATCATTGTACACGTAAGAGATCCTTCGGCAAAACTGATAGCCTATCAAACAATAACACGTGTACACTTCTCATTGCTATATAAACACGAGAGGTGTTAAAAAGCTAGCGCGAAAAAGTAAGGGATAAACACAAACAAAAAAAACATATCATCTTTTTTTTTTTTCTTCTCAAAACTCACTAGTCCTCTGTTTCAGCAACTTCACTAAATGGCCAAAGAGAAAACAAAATCTCCGACCAAGAAGAAGATTCCGATGATGTCAGAAGAGAAATCGAAGAAGCTTCGAAAACCGAAAAACGCTACTCATCCTCCATACTTTCAAGTAATTTTTTCTGAATTAATAAACCGTGGGAATTTCAGACTTTCGGTCCATAATCTCTTCGATATATATCGAAGTCGGGCTTTAGATATATAATATAGTTCTAACTAACTTTTGTTATTTTATTTTGTTGCCTGTGGTTTTGATGAAGATGATAAAGGAGGCTTTGATGGTACTAAAAGAGAAGAATGGATCGAGCCCTTACGCGATAGCCAAAAAGATAGAGGAGAAACACAAATCCGTACTTCCGGAGAATTTCCGTAAAACGCTTTCTCTACAGCTAAAAAACTCTTTATCTAAAGGTAAGCTTGTCAAGATCAGAGCTTCCTACAAGCTCTCAGAGACGACGAAGATGACGACTCGATCTTCTTCGAGAAGACCGAAGAAAACTGTGGCTGTCAACAAACCAGAAATGGGGACAAAGAAGAAAAGGAAAGTTAAGAAGAAGCCAAGACAGCCTAAGTCGATCAAATATCCAGCTGGTAAGAAGGCTTTGAAAGCTTCTGCTACTTGATCAACG